GTGGGATATGCTTAAGGTCATATTTTGGCTCTTGTGGACTTGTTTTAATGAATTTGCATATGAGTAATTGATAGTCTCTTCCATAGTCTGCCCCTGACTTCGTTTTGACTGATGCTATTGCACTTTTCCACTGTCTCTTCTGACATATGTAGTCAGTTTCATTCCTGTGTATTATATCTGATGATGTCCATGTGTATAATCACCTTTTATGTAGTTTAAAAAAGATATTTGCAATTCATTAAGTTATTGGTCTTGCAAAATTCTATCATGCAGTTTCCAGCATCATTTATATCACTGAGGCCATATTTTCCAACTACTGGTACTTCCTCTGTTTCCAACCTTCACGTCCCTATCACCAGTAATTATCAATACATCTTGATTGTATGTTTGAATAATTTCAGACTGAAGAAGTTGGTAGAATTCTTCAATTTCATCATCACTGGCTTTAGTAGTTGGAGTGTAAATTTGATCAACAGTGGTATTAATGGGTCTTCCTTGTAGACATGTGTATTTTAATCTATCACACACAGCACTATAATTCAATACAGATTTTGAAATGTTCTTTTTGATGATGAGTGTAACACCTGTAGGCACATGGATATTATTGTATCTTAGACAGTATTGCACTTCAAGATATATCTTGAAATGTTGTTTGTGATGATGAATGCTTCATCATTCCTTTGCAATTTGATGTTCCTAGCATAATAGACTATATTATTGCCTGAATCAAAATGGCCAACACTAGTCCATTTTAGGTCACTAATGCCTGGGATTATTCATGGGTACCCTTTCATTTTTGACAACTTCTGATTTTCCTACATTCATACTTTGTACATTCCATATTCTGATTACTAATGAATGTCTGCAGTTCTTCCTCATTCGTGTTTTGACTGCCTTCCAACCTGAGGGGTCCATCTTCCACCATTATATCTGACAATTTTCTGGTGCCATTCATAAAAATTTCACCTTCTGGTATTGTATCTGACAATGCATCATTGTTGTTATTAAGGTTTTCAGCCTCTAAACTTTCAGAACAAGTCCACCTCTCCATCTTGCTTGTCTGTTTTAATCTGAAAGTTCTTGTGAAACCTGTCCACCATGAGTGACCATGCTGGTATTCAAAATAACAGTGGGATATATCTTGCAGCATCACAGTAGCATGAAAGCAACTACTGTAGGGCAAACTGAAAGATAAATGGTGATATAGTCTAAATTATTTCCTATCTTTTTACTGGGGAAAAAAAAATATATGACCTTTAGTGTAAGGCAGAGCTGTCATTAAAAAAAAAAAAAATTATATCAACAAGTTCATGCAATCAAATTGAAACAATTATTCCTTTTTCCTAAAATTATATAGAAACTTTTCATTTCATGTTTTTCTGCTGAATGTTAATTTACTACTGCAGAGACAAGATTAACGCTTTGTCACTGTGCTATTGAGATTAAAGGATGATTTTCTCCAAAAAAAGGAAGTTGAGTTGTAAATGAATTATCTTTCCTCCATTTTCTGTTGTTTTATACATATTTAATGTGTTTTAATAAAGGTAATTTCTCTGTAGGAGCAATTCTATTCTAAAAGAAAGAAAAATCCTCTAAGCGCCAATGTTAAACATTATCTTGTTTTTCTGATGGACATAAAGTAAATGATTCATTGATGTAACTGTGAAAGGTAGCTGATAGCCCCTCTCTGTGGGGCCCCTTTGATCTTCCATTTGCCTAGGTTTTCATTAGATGTTGAGGATAATTGGACTGGAAGGTGATGCCTTCACGCAGACCATTTCTACATAGTAAGCTGCCTACAAAGTTGACTTGCCCAAAGATGAATGTCAGAAAAAAGAGAATGATTTAAAAAAAAAAAAAAAAAAAGCTATATCTTTTAAAACAAATGATATTACTGAATTTTTGACTCTTTCTTTCATTTTGTTTTTTGTTTTTTTTTGTATTGGAAATAATCAAAGGGAGTTAGCTTTTAGAGTAAGTTCTAAAGAAATGTGAAGAAACTCCAAAGAACATAACGTAGGAAGTTTGTTTTTTTTCTTTTTTTCTGTAATGTTTATGCTTCGCTATTTTAGTGTTTCAAGATAGAAGTGTTAGGGCTCTGTCTTTGTTCCTTATTACTTTGAAACAATGATTTAAAAGTATGGATTTTTAAAATTGCATTCCAAAATATGTAACAGAATTATTTGAGGAACAATGTGAGGAATTTATTCATCAAATCCTCAAACATTTATTGAATGTCTACTGGTATGACCCTGTTGGTAAGCACTGGACGTCTAACCACAGGGTTGGTGGTTCAAACTCACAAGCAGCACCTTACAAACCCTATAGAGGAGGGGTGGGGAATGTCTGACCCATGGGCCGTATACGACCTGAGCAATCATTGGTCTGGCCCTGCCAAGGCAACCTCAGCTCTAGTCATCACATTAGGGGTGAGTGAATTAAATGTTTGGCCAAACATGGTGGTGGTGGTGGTATGCCGTGGAGTCAGTTCTGACTCATAGCGACACTGTACAGGGTTTCTGAGGCTGTAAATATTTACAGGAGCAGAAAGCCTCATCTTTCTCCCGCAGAACTGCTGACCTTAAGGTTAGTAGCCTGACTCATAACTATGCTACCAGAGCTCCTTTGGCCAAATATAGCAGGCTAATTTTTAAACTGATAATTTTGTATGGCCAGCAAATGATATAAATTTTGGCAGAGAAAAATATTTCCCACTCCTGCTCTACAGGGTGTCCATGAGTCGGAAGTGACTCAATGGAACTTAAAAATAACAACGGTGTCCTAGGCATTGTTCTGGGCACTTTAGATATGTCAGTAAACATAGCAGAGATTCAGGATTTTGGAGAATACATTCTAGTAAGAGAATGCAGACATTAAGCCATGCACATAGTCAAGGAGAAAGTAATAGTTTAATAAAAACTGAGGTGGAAAAAGAATCAGAGCAAAGCGAGGGAGATCAAGAATATTGGAGGTGGGAAGTGCAAATTTAAATATGCAATAAAGGTCTCACCAAGAATATGGTACTTAAACTAAGACTTCAAGGACATATATGAATTGCTGTTGTTAGGTGCCATCGAGTCTGACTCATAGCGACCCTATGCACAACAGAATGAAACACTGTCTAATCCTGGGCCAACTTCACAATTGTTGCCACGTTTGAGCACATTGATGCTGCCATTTTGCTAATCCATCTTTCTGGGGGTCTACCAAACATGATATCCTTCTCCAGCGAATGGTCCCTCCTGACAGTATGTCTAAAGTATGAGAGATGAAGTTTGGCCATCCTGGCCTCCCAGGAGCACTCTGGCTGCACTTCTTCCAACACAGATTTGTTTGTTCTTTTGGCAACCCATGGCACTTTCAGTATTCTCCTCCAACACCATAACTCAAATGCCTCAATTCTTCTATGGTCTTCCTTATTCACTGTCCAGCTTTCGCATGCATATGAGCTTATTGAAAATACCATGACTTGGGTCAGGTAATATATGAATTGTTGTTGTTGTTGTTAAGTGCCATCGAGTTGGTTCCGACCTATAGCGACCCTGTACAGGGTTTCCGAGGGTGTAAATCTTTACGGGAGTAGAAAGCCTCATCTTTCTCCCGCAGAGCGGCTGGTAGTTTCGAACCGCTGACCTTAAGGTTCGCAGCCCAATTTGTAACCACTACGCTACCAGGTAGATATAAAGAGAAGAAGTACTTCTGGGTGCTGGCAGCCAGAAGGCAGGCTTACAGGACGTGCCCTTTGGTTATTTAAATTATTATATATTTCTGAGTGTTTTTGTGTACATCTACCCCCCTCCCCCACGCTGCCCAAAAAATAAACAATGGAAGCAAATACTGTTGAATAATGATGCACGGAGTCGATTGTAACCATTGCAATGAAACAATGAACGTAAACCTGTTGCTCTATGTAAACTGTCACTCAATTCACAATATATGTTAAAAAAAAAAAAAAAGAGAGAGAGAAGAAGTACTTCTGTAAATAATAATAAAGATGAACACCCTAAGGTGGGAGTGAGACAGACCTGTGTGTCAAGAGTGTTATGGCTGGAATGCAGCAAAGGAAAGTGTCTTAGTTTGCTACCATTGCCATAACATGAATACCACAAGTGAGTGTCTTTAAATAACAGAAATTTATTGTCTGAATTTGGGGCATTGGAAGGACAGTGTTCTGTCTACTCTAGCAGAATATTTCTTAAGATTCCATCTTACATTTTATTACTTCAAAAACAGTTTTGTTCTTATCCATGGTCCTACAAAAAAAACATGAATATACCTGATAAGCTTCCATTTGCTTAAAATGTGATTTTTATTTTTAGATTATAATACAAGTGAACAAAAACAGGCCTGTAAGAAGCATGAACTCTATGTGAGTTTCCGGGACCTAGGATGGCAGGTAAGACAATTCAGTCAATTTAGATGCTTTTCTGTAATGTTTGTGCTGCCCTATTATTTTTTACATGACTTTTCAGTGCATGGATTAGCTACATTATTTTTCTTCTTATCCATTCATTATCAAAACATAATTGTTGTTATTGTTAGGTGCCATGGAATCAACTCCTACTCATAGTGAACCTATGCATAACAGAAGGAAACACTGCCCCTTCCTGTGCCATCTCACAATTGTTATGTTTAACCCCATTGTTGTAGCTGCTCTATCTGTACATCTCATTGGGGGTCTTCCTCCCTTTCAAAACATAATTGTTGTTGCTCTTAGGGCCATTTAGTTGATTCCAACAGATATCCATGGGCCCTATATATTTTTTTTTCTGAGGAATGGCTGGTGGGTTTGAATTTCAGATCTGTGGTTAGCAGTCCAGTGCTTACTCTCTCAGGACCATATTGTTGTTGTTAAGTGCCGTCAAGTCGGTTCCTACCCGTAGCCACCCTGTAAGGGTTTCCAAGGAGCAGTTGGTGAGCTTGAACCGCCAACCTTGCAGTTCAAATGGCTTTGCAGTCTGGTGCATTAACCCACAGCGCCACACTGGGCCTTCAAAACAAAATTAGTAGGTTTTAAAATAAAAAACAACTTCCACTGAAGGACACATATAACTCCATGTTATTTAAGAAGTGTCTAAAATGCTGTTGCATAATTATCCCTAGCTTTTAATTTTCCTACCAACAGAAGGTTTGTTCAGATTAACAAAAGCAGCTCCATTTGTCTCTCTAGTATCTCAAGTTTTCAGAGTCTAGGAAACTGAATCAGTAACTATAATGCCTGTGCCAGAGTGATAGGGGAAAAAAAAAAGTCTTGTACTTGAAAAGGCTATTGTTATCACAGACAAGTGAAGAGGAGGATTTAACCAAAATTGTTTTTAATGGTTTTATGGAATAAAAGTTACATATTTTATCAAGAAGTAATATTGAAATATAAACATTAAAAATTTTTGAAAAATCTTCAGTATGGGTAGTTCACTAATATTTACATTTTGTACCTGGTGTGATGCTGCTGAATAATGTGCTTGACCGCAAGCTTGGTTTGAATCACAAGGTCGGCAATTCAAACTATAAGCCGCTCCTTGGAAACCCTATAGAGGGTCAGTATGAGTTGGAACTGACTTGATGGCACTTAACAACAAGTTTTACTTCTTTGGGAAAAAACAAAAATGAAAAGTAGGGCAATTGTTCCATCTGCCAAATTTTGAGTTTCCTAAATATTTTTGTGTATATTTTTCCAAAATCTGTTCCATTTCTTCTAAAGAGACTATAAAGTTAATGCAAAAATGGGAATAAAAACAGCACATGGAATAAATATTAAAACCTTAGGAGGTTGTCGGACTTCTAAAACCAGAAATGAGTTATTAAAAAGTAATGAGAATTATCTCAATTAAGTTTGTTCTTCTTTTCCTTTCTGGTTCACTTGAACTTTCCAGAGTTCATCATTTCCTGTTTCAAGAATGTTTTGGATGCTATTTCATGATTATGCTTCTATTCATGAATACATGGATTAATATATACTGTGAATGTCTTACATAGCTACCTCCTGGGAGAAATTACAGAGGACAATTTCTTGTAAAAATATTTGTACTTTTGTTGTAAACTTCAATTTAAAATTTAAATTAAAGGGAGGGCTATCCCATTAAAATAATTATTGGGTCAAAAAGGGAAGCCAGTCTACATGAAATATACTTTAGTTTTCTTTAAGAAGTATTTTGTCTTTATTTTCATTTTGATGATACTATTTTTTTCTTGTTTTGTGCACACTTTAGGATTGGATTATAGCACCCGAAGGATATGCTGCATTTTACTGTGATGGAGAATGTTCTTTTCCACTTAATGCCCATATGAATGCCACCAACCATGCCATAGTTCAGACTCTGGTATGCTTTGTTTTTATAGGATTTGCAACAGTTTATTACAGTGGTTTATACAAACACAATGTTAAATCATTTTCAGGAAAGCATCCATTCAAAATTATCAATGTATTATCTTCTCTTCTCAGACTTATTTTAACTTTTTAGAGACAAAGTGACAATTGTAGGAATAGTTGGGAGTTTAAGGCCTTGAAGCAAGAATGGGGGAAAGATTCAGCTAGGAAAATTGGGGTCATCACATGAAGTGATCATTCTGCACTGATTTCTTCATTGTACATTATGACTAAACACACAGGTTCCCAGGGACTACCTCTAACCTAACAATTCATTAGTAACCATTGCAAAAACACTGAAAAATAGTTGTGCTGAGTTTCATGTGAGGGGTTTTACTCTAATTACTTAAGAATGTTCTATAATATACTCTGGTATTGCAAAAGCTCTTCTACGTAGAATATAAGCATAAGGTTAGATTTTATTTCTTGATTCTTTTTTAGTATTTAGTATGGTACTCTTCATTTTTTTTATTTTTCTTTTACTCTCAAGAATTTAACAGTGATTGAATCTCTAATAAGTTAGATTTATTTTTGTGAATTAAATGATAAAGTGTTGACTTCATGGTCTCTAAATGGTTAGACTGTATCTAACTCGTGAAACCTCTTGAGACCCTAAAGCATCTTATGACACATGACTTACTGGAATGACAGAGAAATGACCCTGAAAGACTAAATGAGAGGCTTCTAGATGAGCATAATACAATTTGTAATACAGTTCCACTAGTGTTTGATTTTATATGAAAATTTTAATTGTATGTGTTTAGGACGGAAGAAAGGGAACTCATTAGTTTCAAATTAAGACTTAAACATTGGAGGGGGGAAAGGCCTTTGCCAAACACTTCTACTTTCTCTCATTTTTTCCCTTCTGATAGATACATAATTACACATTATCAGCTCTTAGGGTTGTAGTCTTAAGAACTGTGTGGAGAAACAAACATTTTAAAAAAAACTCTGACATAGATTTGGAACAAGCCCCTGCTCTGTATCACTGTCCTGAGCTCTAGGATATAAGCCATCACAAAACTCAAACGTACATGGGAAATTTTTTTTCTGGCATTGTGCACTCTGTACGTTTGTTCTGTGTAGGACATGAAACAAGAAGACAGTCATGTTTGTTGTTAAAGGAAAGTATGTTTGTGACTAATATGGTTGAGAAACCATTCAAGAACCATCCATTTTTTTTAGAGTGTCTGCTTCATGAGGCTGCCAAGGCCATTGTAATGGGGTTATCAATCATATATGTGTGGGTTATGGAAGATAAAGTTGACGAGGGACACAAGCTGCATTTGAAATTTGTAGAAACTATCCAAGTTTCAGTTTTGTGAGGTCTTAGGAAATTTCAAGTTTCTGTCAGATCACCTCATTTTTCTTGCTCTTTCTGTCTACATGCAGGGCTCCTATATCATTTCAGCCAGAACATTGTGCAGCCAAAATTCTAAGAGGTTGTATTGGATTTTTGTAGATCCCTTAAGACTTAATAGATGGGACTTCCCATAAACTCCTTTGGGGGAAAGGCCAGAGTGGGTGGGTGAGAACGGGGTGGGGGCATGCTCTGGCTTTGGCTCAATTATTGCAAATCATAGGCAGAATACCAGTCTGATCAAAATGTTTTACTGAAGCATTTCTATTTTTATGTACAGTCACAATTTTAGACTCCTTTTGAGGCGCTGGATATTCAATTTGAAAATACCTATGCCCCTTGGTTCTGATTTTTGCATAGACTGATTTTGGCACTTCTCTAGGGAGAGGGTAGGGGGAAAGAAAGAAAAAGAATATTATTCTCCAGGCAATATGGTAAAAATAAAAAATTCAATATGGAGAAAAGAGTTGAAATTATTGCTTTAGAGAAAGGATTGTATTATATCTGGAGGCTATTTTGCTATGATTTTTATGGTTCCTCTATGATGTAAAATTAACAGTTGGCATAGCTTTTATTATTTATTACTTAATTATAATTTTTAAATTAATTATGAATTGAATTAGGGTTTACAGAGAAGATCATCAGTTTTACATTCAACAAACCATACGCTACGTTTATTTTAACAATTGTAATTCCTTTCATGTAACATCAGCTCTCCTACTTCCTCCCTGTGATTCTTATTTCCATTACACCCTCCTTCTGAACTTTGTCCTTAAGTAAATATTACCTTTTGATCTTGAACAGTTGACTGTTCCATAATGAGCCTACCTCACTAGTGTTGCTGTCCCCCCTACATACTTATCTACTACTTGGCTGAAAATTGAGACATAAGAGTACATTCAGTTACTGACCTGAGGGGTGAAAGTCCATAGTCTCATGTTCCTCCAGTCTCTTTCTGACCAATAAGCCCATCTTTTTATAATTTTGATTTTTGTTTGACGTTTATTCCTATTCTATCCAGGACCCTCTAATGTGATCTATTTCACAGTTGTTAGTGGTAACCATGCAACATCAAGTTCTTCTGGTCTCAAAGTCATGGAGATGGTATTCATGTGTTTCAGTTGTCGGTTAGATGAATTAAATACAAGAATCTTCAATTTTCATCACCGTTCTTTTATCCTCATAAGTAGAGACCAATAGATGTACCTTAAATGGCTGCTCGTGAGCTTCGAAGATACTGGTAGCTACTCATCAAAGTAGAACATTATTTTTGTGACTATGTTATGCCATTTGACTGAGTTGTCCCCTGAGACTATGATCCTGAGTCGCTGGCCCAGCAATCTATGTCTCAATCCATTTATCGACACACAGAACACTGTTGTCCAAGATTGTGCATCTATCACTAGTTACCCATATCCTCTTTAGCCCACTCATACCACACTGTGTCTTCACCTATCTTCATCACTCTTCTCCCATCTTCCCTTTTCTATTGTATATTGCTCTTTCCCTTCTTGTATATTGCCTTCTTTGTCTGTCAAGTTGACATGTATCTGCCCTCTAGCCAGTGAATTAGTCTCCCTTCCTTCCCACCCCTGGTAACTAAAGAATGTTTCTTTTAGTATAAAAACATTTTCTTAAGTTTTTACAATGGTCTTATACAATATTTGTCCTTTTGTGACTGGCTAATTTCACTCAGCATAATGTACTCCAGGTTAAAACATGTTATGAGGTGTTTTGAAGAACCATTATTATTCAAAGTTGCATAGTATTCCATTGTGTATATGTACCAAAGTTTGTTTATACATTCTTCCATTGATGGGCACTTAGTCTGTCTTCATCTTTTTGCTAAAGTGAATTTTGCTGCAATGAATATTGGTATACATATATGCTGGGGACAGCATACGCAGACCCTGGGTTGATCAGTGGCAGCCCCATTAAACTCTGAATATAATCAGTTTAACCCAGATGCTCTCCTGCCTCCTGAAAGTATATAGGAATATTAAGAACAATGTAGCATTTTAGGTATAGATAAATGAAGCCCAGTGCCTGAGATCTTGCTCACAAACATAAGTTTGCAAAGTGTACAGAGACAGCTTGGCTCCTTTCAGGAACCTTGCTTTATGTTATGTATCCTTAAGAAACCACACGTTGCTACTCTAGATCATTTAAGCCTAAAAGTTAATATATAACAGCTTGATTGAACCTTTTTTTCTGTAAAAATAAAAATGTTAGATTGTTAAGAAAAACTATGAAAATATCTTAAAAGTTGTTCCTGTGAATCATTATGTCCTGTTTTGAATGATTAATCACATTTCAGTTCTGTATCCTGTCTTAATCACATCCTCCCTTTGTGACATCCTCCCTGAGTGAATTACATCCTTCCTTTGTAACAAATCCCTCCCTAAAAAAGAGAATAAAAGGCTGAGGTAGAGTAAGTTCTGCAGGTAATGCTGTGCAATGCTAGGCAAAATGTTTGCAGATCTGTCTACCTGCCAGCTTGCATCATAGCTGTGCGTCTGTCTTTTTTGTATATATTTCATTTCTCTCTTTCTCTATCACTTTCACTGCTAGATCTCCCTTCTTTGTGGCACCCACACTTCCTTATTGAGGCGGGACCCCAACATAGGACCTCGACACATATATCTGCTCTGTTCCATTGATCAATGTATCTTTTGTTATACCAGTACCAGGCTGTTTTGACCAGTGTTGCTATATAGAAAATTTTGAGATCAGGAAGTGAGATACCATCAACTTTGTTATTCTTCATAAGCAGTGCTTCGTTTATCTGAGGTCTCTTTCTTTTCCATATAAAGTTTGTGATCATTTTTTTTTTCCATCTCTTTAAAGAACGATGTTGGAGTCTGTATTGGTATTGCATTTTATCTATAGATTCCTTTGGGTAGTATTGACATTTTCACAATGTTAAGTCTTCCTATCCATGAGCATGGTATATTCTTCCATGTTTGCAAATCTCTTTTGGTTTTTTGTGTCATTGTTTTGCAGTTTTCTTTATATAGGTCTTTTGTTTCCTTTTGTTAGCTTTATTCCTAAATATTTCATCTTTTGGGTGGCTATTGTAAAGAGTATTGTTTTCCTAATTCCATTTTCAGAGCTTTTTTTTTTTATAGTATAGAGGAATCCAACTTATTTTTGCATATTGGTCTTGTATCCTGCTACTTTGATGAATCTTTGAATGAGTTACAATAATTTTCTTGGAGTCTTTGAGATTTTCTATGTATAGAATCATATCATCTGAAAATAGAAAGAAGTTCACTCTTCTTTGTCAACTTGAATGACTTTAATTTTCCTTTTCTTGTCTTATAACTAAGATTTCCAACACAATATAGAATAGGAGTGGTGATAAAGGACATCCTTGTCTCATTCCTGTTCACAAAGGGAATGCTTTCAGCTTCTCTCTATTGAAAGTAATGATAGATATTAATTTATGCTCTTAATTATGTAGAGGAATTTCCCTTCTATCCCAACTTTTATGAGTGGATGTTGGATTTTGTCCAATGCCTTTTCTGCGTCAATCTATATGATCGTATAGTTCTTTTCCTTTTTTTTTTAATCGCACAATTGATGGGGATGTAGAAAGTATGGCTGTGGCTGGGTGGTATGGCCACAGTTGCTATTTTCTGTCAGGTAAGGCAAGAAGAGAAAGCATACACAAGAGAGAAGGAAAACAAACAAATAAATAAGCAAACAAATGCAACAAAATAAAATAGTAATGAAGAAAAAAACTGGCAATGACTTTCTCTCCACCAATAAATGGTATACACATTTGTGCCACCTACTGGCTACTTGTTTTTAGAGCCATCCAAGAAGCTTCAAGATGGCCACACTGCACTTGGCCAGCCTGCACAAATTACTGTCTTTCCTTCTTCATTTTTTTTTTTCCTCCACCCCATGCCTCCACTTTGCTGCTTATCCTAGTGAGAGCTAGTCCACAGCTGCCTACGGCTGACTTTGCAGATTTTTGAGCAGGACCAGTCTGAATAGGGTTATTGCAGATAGCTCTTCTCCCTTCAGTGGGACTCACAATCTCAGGACTCACCTCTGTGCTGTTTTGACAGCCAGAAAGAGCAGGAACTTACCTGGGGGTGTACACTGGAGGAGGCCAGCCTTGCTTCTGGTCACCAGAGGAGTGTGGGGAACAATAAAAAAGATGTTTATCTTTGTCTCTGAGAGTCACAGGTAGGATTTTGCAACATGAATATATTTATTTGTCTCTGAAGCTGCTCACAGGCACTCAAAATGGCTGTGGCAGGTCTAATCAGTTGCCACAGCTCAGCAGCCACTACTGTTTGTGCCATGTCTGCACAGATCTCTCTGCTAGTAAGCATTCAATCCATTTCTCTATTCCCTCCTCTGAACCTCAGAGTTCTAGGACTATCATCAGAATCTGCCTCATTTGGTTTCCTTTATCTTTGTTGTAGAGGGACCATATAGCCTTTCTGCCTAGTCTTCCATCTTACACCACTAAGAAATTATTCTTTTATCCAAATATTTCTACAGTCTTATGGTATTCTCTTTATTGATTTGCACTTCTTTCATCGCTTCTGCATTTCTCATGAAACATACAGATATAGTCATTTTATCCAAAAATAACTCAGTGCTTGTCCCCATGACCTTTCTCCCAGGATAACATTCACTGAATTTTTCCATACAGTGAGTTCTACTTATTTGGTGGATTTTTTTTTTTTTCATGGCCCAAATACATAGTTAGAACTGTGGTTTGAGACTAGGCATTAATGCGTAAGAATACACCCTTCATTACTCCTCCTCCTGTCCTCTGCTCTGCCATTGAACATAAGCAGGGTGGTCAGCTTAAGAGTGTCCAATTGTGAGGGACAAAACAATCATTTTGCTTTATTGCTACAAACAAAATGGTTACAATATTGCTTTAAAAAAATAAATAACACGAAATGTTTTCCCTTTCAGGTTCATCTGATGTTCCCTGACCATGTACCAAAGCCTTGCTGTGCTCCAACCAAATTAAATGCAATCTCTGTGTTATATTTTGATGACAGCTCCAATGTCATTTTGAAAAAATACAGAAATATGGTAGTACGGTCATGTGGTTGCCACTAATGAAATAAGAATGACAATAATGGAAGGATCTGTATTAAAGTTTATGACTGCAATAAAGCATACTTTCAGAAAAAAAGGTAATTTCCTAAAATTATTCTGACTCATTTCATCTTTTTTTCTATGTACAATATCATGTATATAATGTTTTTATTTATTTAAAGGTATATATTCACCTTTGTGGTTGAATTATCAATAAAAATCTATTTTATAGGTCACAGAGTTACACAATAGACTACCCAGTTTCACTTTAAATGGATATGCTGAGTTCCATTCAACTCCATTTCAATATTTTTTCTGATACAATTTTTATGTAATTTCTTGAAATTAGACAGAACTCCATTGACGTTTATACTGCTGAAAGAATTTAACACATATGGCTACATTTTGCCAATGAAAATTATGATAGGATATTTATTTAGAAATTTAAAAAATTTAAAAATAACAACCCCCCCAAAATGCTTGAATAAACACATTTTTTTTCTTTTAGCATTTTTGCTTCATTAGATAAAATGAAATGTTGAACTGGATTTGAATAAATAAACAGTAGTCGGAACATAGAAGCTGAAAGATTATACATAATTGTTGTAAGTGTTTGCTTTAACAGAATTGGTGTAACCGTAGGAGCATGTTACTTTTTGGCTTTTGGATTGTACATTTTGCAAAGAGCTCAAAGCTTCAGAAATTCTGTGGAGACAGGCTAGAGTCTGTAGCTATAACTCTCCAAGTTAACACAAAAAATTGTAGTACAACCTTCTTACCTCAAATAAATCATGTCTGCCTATTATCTAGAACACTATTGCTGCAGATTTTTTTCTTTCCAGATTTAAAAACTTAGTCTAAAATAAAGACGCATTTACATGAGCTTCCCGCTCTCCCTGCAGACAAGAGTCACTACATTAGTAAAATATACCAGAGCAGACAATGTCGACAAAGCCATTTTCTTTAATTCTCCTTTATAACCGAATTTGCTGATTTATGTCATGCAAGGGATTTTATTTGGGGTAAAACACAGAAACTGAAACAGAGGAAATTACCAAACTCCTATAATGGATTTGAAAGAATTACCATTGTGAAAAAACAGCTGAAATCCATTTTTCATATCTTTGAGAATGAACTCAATGAAAACTTTATTTGGTAAGGAGATTTTGTAAGCCTTCCTCCAAGCACAAATAATTCTAAATGGGAAGGTTCTGTTTTGTGCGTGTACATATGTGTTCTTCCCTCTGAAATTAATTTATTTTCTCTTTTTGCTGGAATATCTTCTAAGGCCGCTGTTTAACACATACCGACTTTTTGAAAAATTACCTTTATACTGTTAACTTGCTATTTATGGTGACTCCATGGTAAAGTGCATTTACAATTCATCTAAAAATATTACTAAAGCACCATTTATTAATAATTCTTTTAAAAATTTTATAAAACATTTTATATCACAAATAGATTTTAAAGTACGGTATGGATTTATCTGTGATTCAGGTATGTTGAAATGCTGTTTTAAAATACAGTTTGTCTTTAAGAAATTTTGAAAATAGCTATATTGGTGGTACATTAATTAATATATTTCTGAAATAATGGCATGCCATTGTAAGAATAAGAGACAGAAGTTTATTATATTCTTCTTTAAATGTGCTATTTAAATATATTTCTATATATTAAGATATATTAAACTTATGATGCAGTTTCTGCTGTGTTTTTTTTTATTTGGCTCTTTATTTAAGATGTATTCTAAACTGTATAAACTGAGACTCAAAGAATATTTATCAAATGTTAAATGTTTATGGATTACATGATTCTTTATGCTCATTTACATTATTCTCCAATAACTATCATCATAAAGGTATTACCAGAAATCAGAATAGTTTGGCCTTTTAGAAATCAAAACCATGCTAACAACTTAGTTTTAGCTAATTATTATAACATACATTTTGTTGGTATGTTTGTTTTTAATTTGCCTGTTTTGTTCACAGCTCTGTAATCTAGCCTTAATTTTTTTAAATACAAGAGCATAAATCATAAATACCTTAGTTATTTGATGCTAAAGTAGAAAGGAACTATCTACATTGCACTAAAGAAATAAGGAAAATGAAAGAATATCCAAAAATTAATTTTCTTCGACTCAAGTACTGTCATTTTATAACCCCTGTATTACAATCATCACATTTCAGTCAGAGTCTACTGGCTACTTTACAATCTGGCAAATATCATCTGCCAAGACATTTACAATGAATAATTAGCTGATGCTGCAATTCCATTCATGACAGAAGAAATCCTCATTCTGAAATACTAGTAACCATATCGGAACCATTCAGTCAAGTGCTCAATCCATCATCCAATTTCCATCTCGGATTACCTTTCCTATGATTTCTCTTCACAAAATCTTTTTTTTTTTTTTTTTTTCCTTTAAATTTTTGGCTTAAACCTTTTCAAAGTTAGAAATGAAGAGGGCTTTGTTGATAATGTATGTATATTGCTAAGTATACATATGTGTTTTATCAAATGTGGTTACAATCAAAATTGAAGAGAATGTATAAAACATAATAGTCAATGCCAGTATTTATTCTTATTTATTTAGATAGAAAAATGATACTCTATCCAAGTTTGCAATTTCAAAACAAAAAAGGTTCTGCAAAACTAACTTCAACATCTTTTTGATGTTAAAATCTGCTTGAAAGATGGGGATTTATAAGGCAGGCGAGACCAAATCAAATAGAGTGCTTTAAAATTCAAAAGAAATTTCAGAAATTTTTAGAAACATACCTTAATCTTTGTATTTTAGCTCCAACTTTATATAGACAGCTACCTTGATGTCAACCCTGAAGGTCAATGTGTGCACCCAATGAGAAGAGAAAGGATAGGCGCACTACAACTTTAAGTCCTTCAAGCTAGATATCAAAGTGTGAGAATGAAAGCAGTGCCCAAACAGATTCAAAACTCAACTAGTCTAGAAACAGTAACTAAACTGGAGGGTTATGGGATGTGAGCAGTGTTTGATTTCAGTTCATGTGTCTACTAGAATCTGATGAAATATAGTAGTAAAATCTACTTTTAAAAAACTGGACTATATATATATATATATATATATATATATATTTTTTTTTTTTTTTTTTCTTTCTTGCATCCTTTATGAGGACTTACGGCTAGCAACACCCCCTATGTGCAGGGTCTACACAGCGTAAACATAACATGATTTAAAGTGGTCCCTGATCTGATTAGCACAGATAAGAAAGCTTTTGAAAGAAGCAAATGCAGGTCCCTTCTGAGGGACTGTATCTTCAACCCAGGCCTCAAAAATTCCCACTAAAAATATGTAAAAATCTAAACTAAAAAAAAGGCACTAAGGAAAACAAATATATAAGCAAGGCACCATAGAAGTTAATAACAAAACATAGAACCAAATCATTAAGGACTGTGTCAATCCATCAAGTTGGGGAACTTCTTTTGGGGGGGTTACCCTCCACTTTACCAAGCATGATGTCCTTCTTCAGGAACTTCCCCCTCCTGACAACATGTACAAATTACAAAAGACAGTGTCTTGCCATCCTGGCTTCTAAACAGCATTCCGGCTGTACTTCTTCCAAGACAGATTTGTTTATTCTTCTGATAGTCCATGGTACCTGCAATATTCTTCCTCAACACCATAATTCGAATGTATCAATTATTATGCAGTCTTCCTTAATCATTATAGAGCTTTCACATGCATATGAGGAGATCCATAAATACCATAGATTTGGGTCAAGTGCACCTTAGTTCTCAAAGTAATATATTTGCTCGTGAACACTTTAAGTATTTTAGATTTTGCTATTGTATAGTTTCTATTACAATTATTTAATTCTGCTGCTGTTGTGTGAAAGCAGCGGTGTTGATGGTTATGTGCCTTGGAGTCTGTTCCGACTCATACTGTATAGCAGGAGTGGGAAACGTCTGGTATGGCCCTGACAAGGCAACCACAGCCCCAGCCATCACATTGTTGTTGCTGTTGTTAGGTGCCATCGAGTCAGTACTGACCCATAGCAACCTTATGCACAACAGAATGAAACACTGCCTGATCCTGGGCCAGCCTTACTACCATTGCCATTCTTGAGTCCATCGATGCTGCCACTTAGCCAATCCATCTTGTTGGGGGTCTTCCTCCCTTACCAAACATGATATCCTTCTCCAGCGACTGGTCCCTCCTGACAATATGTCCAAAGTATTAGAGACAAAGTTTGGACATCTTGGCCTCCAAGGAGCACTCTGGCTGCACTTCTTCCAAAATGGATCTATTGGTTCTTTTGGCAGCCTATGGCACCTTCAATACTCTCCTCCAACACCGTAACTGAAAATCATCAATTCTTCTACGATCTTCCTTATTCACTGTCCAGCTTTCACATGCATATGAGGTTACTGAAAATATCATGGTTTAGGTCAGGCTCACCTTAGTCCTCAAGCTGACAGCTTTGCTCTTCAACACTTTAAAGAGGTCTTGTGCAGCAGATTTGCCTAATGCAATATGTCATTTGATTTCTTGACTGCTGCTTCTATGAGTGTTGATAGTTGATCCAAGAAGAATGAAGTTCTTGACAACTTCAGTGTTTTCTCCATTGATAAAAATGTTGCTTATTGGCCTAGTGGTAAGGATTTTTGTTTTCTCTGCTTTGAGATGTAATCCATATAGAAGGTTGTGCTCTTTGATCTTCATATGTAAATGTTTTAAGTCTTCTTCACTTTCAGCAAGCAAGGTTGTATCATCTGCATATCGCAGGTTGTTTATGAGTCTTCCTCCAATCCTGATACCACATTTTTCTTCATATAATCCAGCTTCTCATATTATTTGCTCAGCATACAGGTTGAATAAGTATGGTGAAAGGATACAACCTTGTTGCACAACTTTTAAAATTTTAAAACATTCAGTATTCCCATGTTCTGTTTGAACAATTGCTTCTTAGTCCAGGTACAGATTCTTCATGAGCACAATTAAGTGTTCTGGAATACTCATACTTCACAATGTTGTCCATAGCTCGTCCTGATCCACACAATTGAAAGCCTTTGAATAGTCAATAAAGCACAGGTAAACATCTTTATGATATTTTCTACTTTCAGCCAAGAGCCATT